GGAGCCCCCCGTAGCGTTGGCCCCTAAACCCATGCTGAGTGGAGCTGTGGCCCTGGAGGCTTTTCTGGCCACTTTGCAGAAGGTGGGAAATGTGAGCGAGAGGGCTATCAGTGTGCTGTGATAGTAGCACTAACTTAATGCTAACTTCTTATGTGCTCATTTGCAGCACGGGATCACAGAAGTTAAAGTGGAGGAAACTGCAGACGGGCACATCCTGCACCTGCAGGCGGAGGACACGCTCATTCAGCTGGAGGAGGACGGGACGCATATCGTCTGTGACAGTGAGCCACTGAGGACCACGCTCAGGGACCTGGTGCTGCGCTTCCTGCAGAAACTCTGAGCTGAATCCTGGCTGTTAGTTTCTAACAGTGTTTCTGCGTCACTGGATTATGGAGAGAAGCGGAGGGGAAGGTGTGGATGCTCAACGGCCATATTTACAGTCGTTTCACTGTACAGCATTGTTTGGTTTTATTTTATAAAACTCGCACATGTATTATTTTGTATTTAAAAGTTTTCCAGAATCGTACAGTGACTGTCGTTCATCACTTAGTCTTAGGAAAGCTTTAATAGTGGAAGCTGAGACGTTGCTCACGAGCCCGGGCTTTGTGTAGCCGGTGTGTTCCTGCGTTGTGTCTGACAATGAAGGGTAAAAGAAACCAAGACCTCGCTCCAGCTCCTACAACCAAATGCAAACAGTAGGGAAGAGGGTCAGCTCCACCCACCACAACTCCCAAGCTAGCAAGAATGACCTGTTCATGCTAGCACTGACTGTGCCTATAACACATGTGACACACACGTACTGCACATTTACATTTACAGCATCTAGCAAAGACAGACACAATGACTGAACTAAAGACACACAATCAGAAATATCAGGGTGGCTAAATATACATTATGTGTTGCAGTGTTGGGGACGACACCGACCTCCCCCACAGGGGAATTGTAGAAAAGGGGAGAGGCCAAAGAGGAGCACTGTTTATAGGGGTGCACCAAAGAAGAAGAACAGTGAGGAGGGGCTCCAACTGAGAATGAACAAAACTACAGGCTTGAAGGTCCTAACAGTCGGGTATAACAGGAAGGGTTTGGGGTCTAGAACACATTTTGTGTAATTATAACAATATGTCATTTATGACCCGGTTACATTTGCACAGGATAGAATGAGGAAAGCGCTTTACTCACATTCCACAGAAGTGTTCCTTCCTGAAGCTGAGTAACAGCAGGTGTGTTTTCCCAGCACACGCTGACATGACACAAGAGGAAATGCACAGTAAACATGTTCAACAGGAATGATGGCTGCATATTTAAGCTGGGCTCCCTGAACACACCAGGGCCTCTGTCAGTGTTCAGTGGTTTGCTGTTTCCCCACACACACACACACACACACACACACACACACACACACACACACACTCTCTCTCTTCTGGAAATGCTCCGTTTCTCTGGTGAGGAAACAAACAACCATTTCCTCCCGTTCTTAAACACAGTTGCACATTTTCCAGCGGGAGTCGCCGCCCCCTGCTGACCACTATGGAGAATACCAGTTTAAGGCACTTTGACAGCAGCTTCGTGTCTCAGAACCAGGTTCTGTGATATTCTTCCAACTACATAGACTCCAGATGTTTTACACTGAGTGTGTTTGGCATTTGAATTTGGCCTGGACTCCCTGGACTCAGACACAGTTTTTCAGCTTGATGTGCACTTACCGAGACACCGTGTGAAAGTTTTGCCTTTTAACATTTGCGTGTAACTTTTCCCAATCTCACAGTGATGAAGAGTCCTGTCAGAAATCCCTGAAGCCAGATGCAGATACTGAAAAGGTTCATGTGTAGCACCTTTTTGTTTAGTTCACTTTTCCTTCACATGTGGAGCCAAAATGTCATATTTGATTTACGTCAGCATGTTGTGCAACGAATTCTTAAAAAATGAGTCCAAGTTAGACAAAAGAAGAAGTTTCTGACCTATAAACGCATTTATAGCAGATGAACGGTATCTGAGTCATGTTCACAAGAATGAGAAAAAACAAACTGTATTAAGCTGACACAGGAGCCAAGAAACACCTGCACAGAAAAACACAGTGGGACACCAGCAGTCACGGACTGGCCTCCCCAGAGCCCCGACCTCAACATCATTGAAGCAATGTGGGATGATCCTGACAGAGAAAGCCAAGATCCGAAAAGATCTTTGAATGTTCAAGAAGCCTGCAGAACTATTTTTGGAGGATACTTAGAGAAATGAGAAGAAAGCTGAAAAGTAAAGACGGCCACAACAAATATTCCAGCAGGTTCAAACTTGTACAAAGTCAGTTTGTCTTATAAACTTTTCTAGTGCATTTAAAAATGTTTAAAAAAAACTAAAAACACCCATTTCTCAAATTCTTAGTAAAACCCAAGGAAGTGATGTGGCTCATGACGTCTGCACATTACTGCAAGTCTGGCCCAGCTCACAGTAAAAACTACTGCGAGTAACCCCGCTTACAAAAGACCGACATGCATGAGGCACGACACCGACAACTCATTTGTGTCACAAAATATTTAATCAGTGCAGAATTGATTACACGCGTCAGAAGTACATCTAATAATAAGCTGTACAATATCTTACAGTGTACTACGTGTTGCTTTGATAATACAACTGTCTGCAGCAGGAGGATCACCTACGACTGATAAATGTGAGGTGTCTGGAAAAAACAACTAAAACTCTTCACCTTCAGAGTGAAATACAGACAGATGCAACATTAACTGCTTCGGCTGGTACACGTGTGCAGTAATCTCATCTTCAGGGTGGTTTTAAAAAAAGAAAAAAGGACATAAGGTATCAGGTACGTTACGTTTCAGCGGATCCTGACATTGACGGTTTCCACGTGGTTCCAGGCAGGAAGAACAAACAGGGGACTGTCCAGTGATCGATTCTGCAGCTACGGCCACTAAAAAACTGCTAGATTATCAGTGGCTTCATTAAAGAGAAGATATTCATACCAGCACGAAGCCACGTTGTCCCCTCTTTGTTCCGTTTCCTGAAACTACAGGCAGTGCATTTAAGAGCGTGATGACATCATTAGCCGATGAGGCCCAGGCAGCATGAATAATGACCTTAACTTAGGCGTGGTACAGTTAGGCAAATCTAAAGCTCATCTGGTCTTACACTGAGCGTGGAGGACAGCGGCGAGGGGAAGATCGCAGAGGACTGATGTAACCAGGTGACAGCCGGCTCTGTCGCGGTCAGCTGGCGGTTTGAGGTGGGAGTGAGGGGGTGATGTCACCGTTCTTCTTGGAGGTGCAGAAGTATTAAAGCTTTTTATTACAACAGGATGGAAAGACTTATTGTAACGACGCTATCGTTCAGCTCTATGGAGCTTTCATTTGGCCCGCAGCTTTTGCTTTGGGGTTCGCTCTCATCATGGGAGCCATGGTGCCCTCAGCTGTGCTGGAAAAAACAAAGCTGTAATACCGAAAGTACAATACCCAAGTCTATTTATCCCGCTGTGCACTCTGTGGCCGGTGTTTTTCACTCCTTTTAGTTCGGGGACTGAGTGTGTGTGTTTGTGTGGTGGAAGGTGGTGGCGGCGGCAGTGGGGAGGGGTTCAACCTGATAAATGCGCCTTTGGATGAGTCAGCCGCGTCACGCTTATACCCGTCCATTACTTGGACTCTTTCTCTGCGTCCAGCACTGCAGAGCGGATGCCCAGCTTCTTCAGCTCCTCCACCAGGTCTCCGTTCTGGTGCATCTGCAGAAAGATGTCGCAGCCTCCCACAAACTCGCCATTGAAGTACACCTGAGGGATCGTGGGCCAGTTGGAGAAGTCTTTGACTCCTGTGGAAGGCAGACAGCGTTAATACTACCAGTCCTGTTTCTCTGAACACCTCGTGGGTTTTAAAATTAGGCGTAGCAGTTTGGTTACATGCCTCATTAGCATTTTTAAGGAAAATCTGAGGGGTGGGTTTTTTTTTTCTACCCACTGAAACTGTAGCAAAAGCACAAACCTCCACACTCACAGCAAAGGGTCTCCAACCCAATTCAGATCTATTCATTTAGTGCAACAACAGTGGCCTCCAGGCACTTTATACTGTAAAGTAAATAATGGAGAGAAAAATCCCAACAATCAGGCGACCCTTATGAGCAAACCATAGATGGAAGAGGGAAAGATGAACTGCCTTTTAGCAGGAAGGCAGAACCAGGTTCAGTGAGGGGCCATCTGTGAGTGGTTGGGGGTGAGGGGAGGAAGCCAGGAGAAAACACACTGGAAGAGCCTCTTCTCTCACTATCGGAACAATGGGGATCGAGTCCTGACAGAGGCCGGGACTTTGATACCGATGCTAACGTTACCCCACCCTTTGGTGCTGCTGCACAACACTGATAAAAACTGGCCATGGAGTGCCGTTGACAGCTATCCTAACCGAATGCTGCTTTGAATGAGGCAACGATCAGGACCCGACACTTCAAGGATGTTTAAATGAGCTGCACCCAGCATGTGACGCTTTTTCTGCCGGTTACAAAGTAACCAAAACGGTACACGTTCACCTGAGAGGTGACAACCTGTTGCTGTCAGGCCGACTCCGGGTTACTGACCTTGTCTGAGGTCCTGGTCCTCCAACACGTTGTACGCAGCGTAGTTGTCCACGCCGTGCATCCGGAGGATCTGAACCACAGCGTTACTGAAGCCGCACATGGGCTGCGCCGGCGTGCCTTTCATAAACACCACCACTTTGTCCTTCTTCACCATCTCACCGAGGTCTTTCTGGAGATCCGCCGCCGAGCACAGGAGCCGGACTGAGGCCCACTGCGAGCGGCCGTCGGTTTGTCTGGGCAGGTAGACAGCCGGACCCGAGCGGAGACACCGAGCAGCGGATCGGAATAAACTGTTCATGGTTGGTGTTCAATTATCTCGTTACAAGAGGAGAAGAAACGTCCTACAGACGGGCCAGAGTCGGAGTAAAAACAGCCAAACTACTGTCGCCTCACTGTTACGATGAGGGGCGTTTACGTGAACGGTGATTGGACAGCTTCGCCCAGTCTTCGCCGAGTCTGATTTGCTAATGGTGGCGTCACACGTCATTCAACGCCGGCGAACGTAAGACGTTTAAAGTTATTGTGTTAGAAAATATAATAGTAACAATGTTACAAAAAAATAAGAATAATGTGGCACTCACGTGGTATGTATATGAATATGGCATGTTTTCCTTGATAAAATAAAACATTATAATAAAAAATATATTTTTCAGGTCACAGAAGCAGAAAAGGACTTCCGGAGCATTTTACATTCACAGGAAGAAGAGGGTAACTGTTTGAAAGATGGCGGCGCCCACGCAGAAGAATAACAAACCGGGGAAACCTGGAGGGAAAGAGGCTCAGCCTCTCATTATCGCCAAAACACCGGCGGAGGAACAGCGTCTGAAACTGGAGAAGTTGATGCGAAACCCAGATAAGCTCGCTCCGATCCCGGACCGACCCAAAGAATGGAACCCGCGAGCCCCGCCGGAGTTCGTCCGGGACGTGATGGGCTCCAGCGCGGGTGCAGGCAGCGGAGAGTTCCACGTTTATCGCCACCTCCGCCGCAGAGAGTACCAGAGACAGGACTTTCTGGACAAGATATCAGAGAAGCAAACTAAGGACGAGGAGTACCTGGAAAAACTGGAGCGGAACAAAGAGGCCGCCGAAGAAAGGACAGCGAAGCGGCGGAAGAAGCGAGAGAAGATGAAGCAGAAGAAGCTCCTGGCGAAGAAAGCTAAACGTGAAACTAAAAGCAAGAAGGAGGGAGACGACAAGAGCTCCGAGAGCGAGGAGGAGGACGAAAGCAAGGATGAAGATGAGGAAGACGAAAGAGAAGCCGAGGATGACGCAGAAGCGCCCAGCTTCATCATGGGGAAGAAATGAACCCGTGAAACGTGGAAACTCCTCGCAGTTGGACACACCAGCGACACTTCAAGCCTTTGAAAATAGAGCCTGCAAACAGGAAGGTGGACCTGACCTGCTGCAAGGATTAAAAACATTGCCGCTCATCAGCAGAGACACTTGGACTGCCTCGTTTAGCAGGCAGGAGAATCCACCGAGGGACCGATGTTTGAAAGAGGAGTTGTTCAGTGTAGTTATTCATTCTGGCTTCCAGGATCACACCTGGAAGCCTTTGTCGTTGTTATATTTCAGTATGATTCAGGCTTATCTGCAGGGAAATCCAGCTTTGGTTTTAAGTTAGGAATGTTAACAGTATTTGGAAATAATCTATTTCAATGTGCTAAATGTTTTGAAATAAAACTGAATAATAAAAACACCCGGATGTTGTGCAAGTTGCTCACAATGAAACCCAACAGCCAAGATGATACTTAGACATGTGATTGATGCTTCGATGTTCTCCTGTGCAGCCTTGTGAAGCTGCCCCTGGCCCCGCCTGTTGCCTGTGGGTACAACAAGCTGCAGAAAGCAACTCAAAGAATGAAAAGGCGTGGCTCCTGGAGGCTCGGGAGTGTCACGTGCGATGTTCTTTGCACAAACTCCTGCCTTCCACGGTGGTGACGACCTCCCCCGGTAGCCGTCACCTTTCTTGAGGCAGGTAGAGTAAAACCTGGCAGCCAGATATTGTCTGAAACAGGGGAAGCTCTTCCTGTCAGACACTGTTCAGCTGTCACACTGAAGCCTTTGGGAGGCTTTGCTGTTTAGTTTCAACTATTAAAAACACTCAGAACGTTTGTTTGCTTCAGTGTAATAGTTTGCCTGTGCCTACTTGTTAGTTTGCTCCTTTAATACAAATAAGAATATAGCTGGAAGCGAGTCACTGCTTTCCATCAGGTTTTGGGTTTCTTCATTTATACTTATTTAGTTAGAAAATGTTGTCATTCCTTCAACCTTGACCGATGCTGCAGATTAATGTTAGAAATGTATGTCATACTTTTACTTGTGCTCAGTATCACATGTTCCCCGTTGGATTAAAAAAATGCACATTTCTCCTAATCATATTAAATTCAAATGGTTTCCTTTAAATGTGATACCTGAACATGTTTTAAAACAACATCTCTTCCTTCTTTGGTTTAAACTTTTTCTTTTATTTAACAAAATGGGCCAACGGGACTTAAATAAAATGTGTTTTTGGTCTTTTTATGGTCTGAAAGTCATTAAAAAATGTTTACCTAGATTCACAAAATATAAAAAGTGTTTCATTGAAAGAGCTGTTAATGTGCACGTGCTTTATGCTTTTAAGTATCTCTTCAAAAATTCATCCTGTCAGAAAGAACAGAAAAAGGATGTTTGATGTACACGTGGCTTTCTGTTAGCTGTAGTGAAACACATTTAGGTCTTAGGAGTGTATCTTTAATATATTACTGGATATTTTTATTCATGATTTATTTTAATACCCGATGAAGATCAGTTACAATTTTTGACATTAGTTTTTTTCCTGCACAGCTGTTGTTCATTCAGGTGAGTTTTCAAACTAGCTGCTTATTATTTAACAAAAGATTCAACTTGAGAAAATGTATTTATTAGCTTTCAGCCCTCCTGCATGTGTATATGTTTGCTGAGTTGCACAGCTAAAGAAGACTCACAACCTTTGATTTGACCTTCACAAAAGTAAAGGAGTATTAAAATGAATTCTTTTCATGTATAATTAACACGAGAGCTCTGTGCATATTATCACACTGTATTTGCATCATATAGTTTTTTGAATAGCGATGCATTGAGGAGGACATTTCCACAAGCCTGACTGTAGATACGGATTGGTGGAAGAAAAAGTAGAAAGGATGAGGTAAGAAAAGACAAATCATAAAGAATGAAACAAGTATTGGCGAGGAAATGAATCACTAATATCCAGCGTACCATTTTAATGCACTTTATGTGTTTGACCTTACAGCTCATTATCTCCCTATAAAACACTTGTGAACACATAAGTGGAAGAACCTTTGGGAACAAATGAAAACTTCTAATCAGACAAGCTAACGTGTGTTTTCAGCAGCCGTACAGCAGGTTGATCCTCCTGATGTCCCAGTAGGACATGCCCTGCCTCTGGCCAATCTGGACGTTGGGGTTGGGGATGGGGGTGATGGTTTCCCTGCCATTGATGGAGAAGGCTGTTCTTTCATAGTGCATTATGGAGGAGTAGTCGTAGGGAGTGTTGAGGTTGTTGGTGTCCTGCTTGTCGAAGTTGTAGGCCATCTGTGGGTCGATGTTCTCCCAGTTGATCCTGACGTAGTAGTCGCGGTCGCTCCTGGTCTGCTCGTGCTGGAAGCCCAGAGCATGGTTGACCTCGTGCTGGACGACGCCAAAGTAGACGCAGCCCTGCCTGTTGAGAGACAGGACCTGCTTCCCTCCCTGTCTGCCCACAAAAGAGAAGCATCCGTTCTGGCTCTCGATGCTGATGTAGTCGTTCTGGTTCTTACGGTCGACAAAGCGGACACAGGTCTGGCTGTGGAAGGACTGCAAGGCATTTCTGATCAGCTGCCTTTCCCCGCTGCTGTACTCACTGCTGATGGTGAAGGGAACCGTCACCAGGCCGTTGTTGTCTTTCTGCCACAGGCAGCTCTGGTAACTCTGGCATTTAATGGCATTTCTGCTTTTTGGAAGCAGGATGTCTCCTTCCAGCAGGATCTCGTTGCTGCCATTGTTTGCGGTCAGAATCCTGGTGGTGATATCGACGGTGTGGTCTTCCTCCACCTGGCCCTCTCCTCCTCCTCTTT